TGCAAGGAGTCTGCTCGAATGAATCGGGCAAAGGACCATGGCACCGACACATCCATCTGATCGGAGGCATTGCTAGGCAGGCAGCGGTATACCCACCGCAGCTTGTGAAGGCAGTACTAAGGAGCCTGCGTGACACGCTAGCAGAAAAAGGTGAGTTGAACACCTTCGATCTGTTTGCAGCAGGCCCAGTTCCGGAGATGCCTCTGATGGACCCAGAGTTTGAAGAGGTATACATGGATGATATTTTGCCAGCCGAGAAAGTGAAAGAAGCAAGACGCCTTGAGATGGATTATTTGAAAGAAAAGCCTGGTGTTTATGTGACCCGGCCGAGAGCCGAATGTTTTGAGGAAACGGGGAAGCCCCCGATTCCAGTCAGATGGTTGGACACCAACAAGGGAGATCCAACCAACCCAAACTATAGGAGCAGATTAGTTGTGCGTGAGATAAAGGCAAGAAAGACCAAAGAAGAACAATTGCCAGCCAACTTGCTTTTCAGCAGCACGCCCCCATTAGAGGCGATGAGACTGCTGTGCTCGTTGTGGGCAACAAAGAGAAAGTCCTGCCACAACCAGCCGCTGAAGCTGGGCTTGTGGGACATCTCACGAGCACACTTTTATGGAACTCCAAAGAGAAAGATCTACATAGAGCTGCCGCCTGAGGACGAAGCCAGCAAAGAGGGACAAACCTGTGGACTTCTCGTGAAGTCGATGTATGGAACACAGGACGCTCCAAACATCTGGCAGACGCACTATACAGAGACTCTGCAGAAGGCTGGCTTCCGCAGAGGGTTGTCAAATGCGTCAGTCTTCACCAAGAAGCTTGGGATGTCAGAGTAATGGTGCATGGAGATGACTTCCTAGCACTTGGAGACGCCCAACACTCGGAGAAGCTCAGCCAAGTCCTCAAAGATGCCTATGAGCTGAAATGCCTCGGAATTCTTGGAGACGAGGATGGAGACCGAACAGAAGCTCATGTTCTGAATCGGTTAATCTGAGTTGAGAAGAAGAACGGCAAAGGATCGATTGTGATCGAAGCCGATCGGAGACATGCTGATCTTTTGATCCAGGCATTTGGTCTGGAAAAGGCAAATGGTGTAGAATCACCAGATGTCAAGAAGTCGGCAGGATGCTGACCACGGTGGAGACGCTGTGACGCGCAAAAGCACGACTGGCATGGTTGCTATGTACGGCATGCACGTGTTAAAACACAGCAGTAACATCCAATCCACTGTAGCCCTTTCCACAGGTGAGAGTGAGTACTATGCACTTGGGATCTGTGGGCTTAGGCCTCCAAAGCCTATGCGCAGACCTTGGTTTGGATTTAGGAGTCACCATCGAGGGCGATTCCAATGCAGCCAAAGGAACAGTAAACAGAGTGGGTTTGGGTAAAGCCAGACACATCCAAACTCGCTACCTATGGTTGCAAGAAAGGGTCGCCGAAGGCCACTTGAAAGTGCACCACGTTCCAGGTGTCAAGAACAAAGCCGATGTGTTGACCAAATCGGTACCTGGGGTGCAGCTTCGCAAAACCATGGAAGACCTGCAATATGCATTCCTCAGCAAGCGAAGCAAAGGACAGTTAGATGTTTTGGAGTAAGGTCCCTGGCCAAGCTCCACTACCACAACTGAAAGTGGCTAAGCAGCGAAGAGTTTCACATGTTTTACTTTAAGCTTGCGCAGCAGTACAGTGCTTTGCAAGAGGAGGAGTGTTTGTATGTACAGCCCATATATACTCCGCTATAGGTACTGCAGACACGTGACTCTTGACGTGTTTTGGCTCAAGGGAAAAAGGCGTTCCGAAACGTCGAAACTTTATTTTCAGAATATATGTATATGCTACCCCCCCGTGAGACCTACCTTTTCGGCCTTGGAAGGCATATTGCGAAGCCAATAGCATGTTGCAGAAGCACCTGAACCTTAGATAATACTAAAAGGTAATTTACCTGCGTTGTTGTGTTTGTGTGTTTCAGTCCTTATGTTCTGTATTATTGTAATATCTCCTTGATTGTTTGGCTCTACAACTGTCGCAGGTTTTAAACCCTTCAGTAAATCTCTCTATTGCTCTGTTATTCTGACATCCTTTGCAATGCTGTTTAGTAGTATCCATTACCTAATATATACTCTTTTTGAACTACTATTACATCTATGACATTAAGAAATACAGTTGATAAACTACATTGGTTGGTTACATTGAGCATCCAAGGGTTCATGGGCATGAATGTAACCTTGCTTAGGTATGTCTCATTTGCCCTTTCTATCCTGTTTTTTCTTTTTCATCCTCCCTATTAAAAAGCTTGTGATACATTGTTCATTAACTTAATTTTCAGTATCATCACGGTATTAAGAAGGAACACTTACTGTAACTCCACTTCAATCCCTAGCTCCTGTGATTGCCGTCCAAAGCCGCTCCTTATCGCGAAGTGGTTGTAATCAAAGATAGTAATATCACCATCTATACTACTACCTTTTGCTGAATGACAAGTTAAGCAGGAAACAAATAGGAACTTTTTCCAAATATGATCGTTGTGCAAACCCTTGACCTCCTGACTTTGAATGTTTTTCTACAGACAAATATGTATCACGTACTGCTACCAGTATCCTTTGCAATACTGTTTAGTAATATCCATTGCCTAGTGTATATGTAGCCCAGTATTTTTTGCTTACTCCAACAGTTTTTGATAAATATTTATCTTTCTTAACACCTCTTTATTTACTACTATCACATCTATGACAGTAAGCAATGCAATTGATACACTACCCTTTTTCAAATCTATTCTAACTCCACATCGACATATCTTTTCCATAAACCATTGGACATTAATATTCTATTTTACATTTTCTATCCTGTACTTCATGTTGTTCAACCTCCTTATTAAATTAACTTGGGATACATTGTTTATTAAATTCATTTTCAGTAGCATCTCTGTATTTATGAAAACTTGATTCTACTTAAATCCCTAGCTCGTGTGATGGCTGTCCACAGTCAGGCTCTATAATTTCTTATCAGTACTCTCTGCAGCTTAGCCTTTCTTGTTTTTCGTTTATTTTCTATTTTTTAGTTTCCTAATTTCATTAGATACATTTTTGCAGGTGTTATTCAGAAAGGCAATGTTATACTTAGAGCAATTGATGTCAGTTGTATATGAAACATATTTCCGACCGGTTTTTGTAAACGAAAAGTCTTTAAGAAGAATGACATATTTCATGTTATACATTTTGGTTCTATCATATTCTCAAGCTTTGCATTTCAATTGGTTTCAGGAAACTTTGCAAACTTTGCACAGTTTTTGGGATTCCAGATTGAAGATTCTGGGGAATAGTTCTTGAATCCAAGCACTAACTGACATCCAGAAGCCCAACATTCGAGGGCTTGGATTGGATTCAAGAACTTTTCCCAGAATCTTGAATCTCGAATCTTGAATCCCAAAAATTGCAAAATTTGCAACGTTTACCCATTTTTCAGGATTCAAGATTCTGGGGACAATTTCTTGAATCCAAGCTCTGACTGACATCCAGAACCTCAACATTTGAGGGCTTGGATTCAAGAACTTTTCCCAGAATGTTGAATCTTGAATCCAGAAAAATCGTGACATTTGCAAAACCTGCAAATTCAACATGTGCTTACACACCTTTTGGGTTTCGACATGTGTGTGTATGCAATATGTAATGTGTGTATATAATATATATATATGGCACCCCCGCACTTCCTCAATATATGACCCCACAAAATTACCTGAAATATGCAGAATTCACTGTAAATACAACTGAAAAGTGCAATATATATAGAATCAACCGGCTGTGTGTGCTTTTGAGACAAGGTGTCGGTGCAACTGCCGTTTGTGTGAGTGGTGTTTCGGGTGTCTCAAACTATATGGACGCTTTGGGACAGGGTGCCGGTGTGGTTTGCTGTCCGTGCAAGTGCGGGTGTCTTTGGAACTGCGTGGACGCTTTGGACACAGGGTGGTCGCAGGTGCTGTCCCTGCAGGTGCTGTTCCGGGCCTTTTGGACATCGTGCTTGTGAAAGGCAACACTGCTTTGTTTGCACCTATCTTTTTGTCCGCATACTTCGATGCGCAAGAAATCATACTTGCTAGCCCAAGCAGCATGCAGAGGAGTGGTGTTTTGCTGTTTGCTGCGTCGCCTCTTCGTGGCTTTTGCAACGGCTGCTTTGCCTTTGCCAGATGGTTTTTGAGAATGGCAATACAGTTGTGCTCGCTTACTTGTATGCACACAACATCATGCCTGTTATCAGGGCATTTGCTCCAAGCAAATTTGTTTAACATGTTGTGTGGCATGAGACTGCAAGGGTGGTGTGTTGCTTGTGGCGGTGGCCTTGATTCGTTGCCTTTCTTTGCACTTGCATTTGTTCTACTCTCTTGGTATGGCAACCACGAAACCCAGTTTAAACAACCTGACGCTGTTTTGCACATTTTGGTTTGACCTTACTATGCGGGGCCGTTCTCGTGCAATGTGAGAAGACCACTATGAGTTACAGCAAATCATACACGAGTCAAACAACAAGTCCCACGAATCTGGCAACAAATCACTACCACAGATTCTCCAAGAAATAAGGATCACTGACCACCGAGCATGAATCAATAGAAATCGCAGCCAGCCCAAAATTGTTTTGTACTTCACCGGAGCCAGAGATAAGAAGAACTCAAATTAGCATCAGGATTATCCACAAGTATCTTGCAGGAAACCTGTGATGTCAGAAATGTTTTGTACACATAGTAGCATTACCAGCATCATGGGTGATTCTCCTTTCTAGACCGTATGTTTAAGTGTAATGTAGCTAACTTAAATGCGCCAGAGATTTGCTCATGTTTTGGATTGTTGCTTTCCTTCCGTGTGGTCCCTTCTGGATTTCATATTTTTGCGCAATTTTGTGTTTGCCCTGTGGGGGTTGTTTTGACAGGTGCTTCATATGACATCGGTTTTTCTTCCTAAACTCGCTTGCTTTCAATTCTCCCTTGCTTCCTGAGCTCGATTGTCTCCAAGGAACTTGATATCCATCGGGGATGGAGATGCTGAGCGTGCTGCTAGCCTAAGGCTGCAGGCGTGCCAAATATGGATAACCAGATTCACTTCTCTGACTGCAGAGTTGCACCTCCAGGCACCAGAGCGAAAAGGATCATTTGGCGAGATCCTCAGAAGCCATTCTTTGAGGGTTGGTTTTGGAAACGGCAACTTGATCAGGTGAGGAAAGACAACGCGTCAAATCAGCTTAAAGCTTAGTTTTTGGATTTTGCTAGAGACAGCAGAAGAGTGCGACGGAGAAAGTATAAGTTCTTCAAAGAGGATCAAGCAGTGTCTGAGGTGAAGCTCATCGAGCTTCCGACATGTCAGCAATTGATAGTCCAACACGAGATGTTGCAGGCATGGCGGTCATGCAAACTCAGGAAAGGTTTGGTTTCCATGTTGCTGTTGTTCGACACACTAGTGGAGTGAGTGGAGTGAGTTGCGACACCTTCAGTTCAGGTGCGGCTTCCAGATGTCACAGCTTTCCTGGGATGTTTGGACCTGAAATCTCGCTTTCCAAGCAGCAGCTCACCCGGCAAGGCGGATGGATTGCTGTCTGACTATAAAGGTCTTGTGTAAGTCTGTCTTGTACAGTGGTAGCGCTTGTTCTTTGCTTCTTTATCTTCTTTCCGTGCAGTTCCCGTCTTTGCGCACAACGACCCATTTCGTGACAGCTCGTTTTGGACGATCTCCTTGGCTGAAGGAAGCATTTGCAAATAGATGCAAACATAAGAGGCATTATGCGGCACAACAGATGATGAGATGGACGGCAAAGTATGATTACCTAGTATGACTTGAACTCCCGGTTCTGTGGACTTTCCTGAGATGAACAACCACACACATATATCAAGATGAACAGCTGTTCAGCTGAGTTGTTTGTTTTTGGCATCGAATTAACACTATTTTCATATCATCATATCAAACAAATCGATGGCTGGTCTGCATGGAGCTCCGCAAGGCTTCAAGTTCGAAGTCAAAGTTCTCCATAAAGCCATATGCATTGTTTGAGGAATCTCCAACCATTCTAAAACCACCAGGCTGCAGATTCCTTGCCTTCATGGTGGGACCGATATTGTCATCTCCAGCCGCTGGCCCAGAGACGTTGACTTGATGCAAATGGAGACTGACAAAGCAAAGGCACACCTACGGAACCTGTTCGCTCGCTGTACGCCTGAAGGCGGGCAGCAGCAAGATGAACTTTGACACGAAAAAGGTTATATAAGGCTTCACAGTAGATTCACTAAATTCAATGTTTCTCATCCGATGAAACATGTTCAAGGCTTTGGGCCTGCGAGGGGCAGATATAAGTTCTTTGCTGTTGGCGCTGCGGGGCTTCATCGCAGAGCTCTGAGTTTATATGCAGGTTCTTCATGAAGGCTTAGAGGTGTGGCATTGGGCAAACGAGGTACTGTACCTATATAGAAAAACCATTGGACGCCCTTTTGTTCCAAACTTTGTGCAGAACCACACAGAAGGCCAAGCTTGTGGTTTGTCAGATCCGTGTGTCTACGCTGTTTGGCCAATTCCTCCAAGAGAGTATAGACAATTGAGGCTCGGTGTGTTGATCCTTCCATAGAGCTTGCTCTGGAGCTGAGCCCTCAGCACAAAAGAAGAGAGCAACACTAGCAGGTCAGTGTCTTTTTGAGGAGTGTTTCAGTTGTTGCAGCGTATGGCAGGCTTGATGCTTCGGAGAATGAGCTTTCTGACGAGGTGACCATTTTTCGTTGGTTGATCCTGATCCTGAACGATGTTCGTTTTTCTTTCCCAGATAGCTGGAAACTATGGCATATATGGGTTCTTACTTATCCTGGAAGCCAAGATTTTGATCACTACTTTTCGCCTTGAAACCAAAGGAGCAGTGTGCAGTTTTCCCAGAAAACCTTAAATGCACAGTGCGAGGGCTTCTTCAAGGAAGCACCCCCCGCAATGAGGCGGGGGGAGCTTCCTTGAAGAAGCCTAAACTTTCCGTCCGGGAGCCTAGTAGCTTCTCAAGCTGCTACTTACCCCTTACTTAAGCTACTAGCGGTTTCTGCCTGAAACGGCGAAAACACAACTTTCTGCGAAAAAAAACGACTCTACAGCGCCTTGTGGCCAGCGTAGCTGTCCCGTGATCCCGATCGCAGCTTCTCCTTTCACCCCGGTCTAGCCTCTAGTTTTCTCCATGCTATCTGGGGTGCTCGAGCCCCTAGTAGCTTCTTGTTCCTAGTAGTAAGGCCAGGAGCCCCTAGTAGCGTCCTTGCTCCTAGTAGCGCTCCTAGTAGCGATGTCAGGAGCCCCTAGTAGCTTCTTGTTCCTAGTAGTAAGGCCAGGAGCCCCTAGTAGCATCCTTGCTCCCAGTAGCGATGCCTCGAGCCCCTAGTAGCGTCCTTGTTCCCAGTAGTAAGGCCAGGGGCCCCTAGTAGCGTCCTTGCTCCTAGTAGCGATGCCAGGAGCCCCCAGTAGCTTCTTGTTCCTAGCAGTAAGGCGAGGAGCCCCTAGTAGTAGCTTCTTGTTCCTAGCAGTAAGGCCAGGAGCCCCTGGTAGCGTCCTTGCTCCTAGTAGCGATGGAGCCCCTAGTAGCTTCTTGTATTAGTAAGGCCAGGAGCCCCTAGTAGCGTCCTTGCTCCTAGTAGCGATGCCAGGAGCCCCTAATAGCGTCCTTGCTCCTAGTAGTAAGGCAAGCAGCCCCTAGTAGCTTCTTGTTCCTAGTAGCGATGGAGCCCCTAGTAGCTTCTTGTTCCTAGTAGTAAGGCCTGGAGCCCCTAGTAGCGTCCTTGCTCCTAGTAGCGATGGAGCCCCTAGTAGCTTCTTGTTCCTAGTAGTAAGGCCTGGAGCCCCTAGTAGCGTCCTTGCTCCTAGTAGCGATGTCAGGAGCCCCTAGTAGCTTCTTGTTCCTAGTAGTAAGGCCGGGAGCCCCTAGTAGCGTCCTTGCTCCTAGTAGGGATGTCAGGAGCCCCTAGTAGCTTCTTGTTACTAGTAGAAAGGCCAGCTACTAGGGGTTCCTAGTAGCGATGCCAGGAGCCCCTAGTAGCTTCTTGTTCCTAGTAGCAAGGCCAGGAGCCTTGCCAGGAGCCCCTAGTCGCGTCCTTGCTCCTAGGCTGCGATGCCAGGAGCCCTAGTAGCGTCCTTGTTCCCAGTAGCGATGCCAGGAGCCCCTAGTAGCGTCCTGAGCCCCTAGTAGCGTCCTTTCTCCTAGTAGCGATGCCTGAGCCCCTAGTAGCGTCCTTGCTCGTAGTAGCGATGCCAGGAGCCCCTAGTAGCTTCTTGTTCCTAGTAGTATGGTCAGGAGCCCTGGAGTGTTCTTGCTCCTAGTAGCGATGCCAGGAGCCCCTGTCTATTATGTGGAATCTTTGCTTTTGTCTGTTTAGTTTGGGCCTGCCGTAAAGTCTTCCAATTGATACTCTAAACAGGCCGGCGTGTGCCTCATTTCCGGTTTGCAAAGCCTCAACGAGGGCCGTACAGGCACAGAAACAGCCCGAGATACCTGCGAAGCGGAATTGTGAAGTACTTTTGAGAATCTAAGTACCAGTACTTGCAAAAACAATCCGGGGTTGTTATTCCTTTGCCCATGGAAACCTGAAACGATGCCCACACCCAACTTCTACAACCGCAGAGATGTTGTCCATCACGCAAGTCCATGGCCAATGGCAGGGCCATTCCGCTTGCGAGTGCTGAAACTACACAAGAACAAGGCTCTGGAGATACTGGGACGTAAAGGCATATTATTCTGAAACTACTCAATGCTGCAATGCTGCATTCCTCTTGCACAAAATGGATGTGTGTTTGATTAACAGGTCGGAGATGACACTTGTGAGATGCTTGCGGGCTTGCTGTGGAATCAACCGAAGCCAGTTGAGGCTGGCTTGAAACCAGGAATGCAAAATCCTGTCACATCTCCTTTCGTGCTTTTGTTGAAGGATTCTACATATTTGCTGTATATAGTAGGCGGTGCCGTACGCCAATGGCCGATGCAGGAGATCCACCTTTCGCACAATATGGTGCAGCAGAGAGGTTTGGTACTCAGTGTTGAATCTAGAGATCGCAGAAAGTTCAGCGAATGCGTGCCTTTGTGTTGCATGGATTGACTCAGGATTGACTGCCATTCTGGTTGCTATAGCGATGCACCCAGAGAAGGCACATGATGGAGATTTCCCGCAAGTGCGCTTGATATTTGTGACTTTGTCTTGTGAAAGGCATATCCAAGAATTGCCCCCGGTGAGGCAGGCGCTTTGCAGTAGATTGCCTGCAAATCAGAAGCGTCAAGCGGTCTTGTGCATTGTGCAAGGATGTGCCCTGCTGGGTTCGTTTGGAGCACAATCGAGCGCGTTTCTGAGTTCTGATTTGCATTGTCTCATTCTTGTGAAAGCATTTTCAAACATTTTGTTGGACAGGTGTCACATGTTGAGCACATCCTGGATTTGCTCCGCAAGGAAGCTTTTTGGGCTTTGTTTCAGTCATTCTCAGCTGGGTGTCACTGGCTGAACACTTGGAAGGAGCCTGTGCAATTGCGGATATGCATGGCACCTCGCAAAGAGAAAGGGCCCAGCTGCACTTCGTTCCGCTGTCAGGCCAGTCCAATCATTCTTGACTGGCAGCATGTGTTACAAGTTTTTGAGATAGGCGATTGACAATGTTGCGCATGTTCACCTCTACTGTGTGGACAAACAGGCCGGCATTTCAGCTGCAGAGGCTTTCAGAGTCCAGAGTATTCTCGTCCCTCGCAGGATGGTGAGGGCGAAACGCGAAAGCATGCTGAGGCCGAAGCATGATCACTTTTGGGCACTTTTTACCGGCTAGGTACGGTTCTTACTCTTGCACCAATCTTTTTGGATTTGTAAAAACTTATGCGTCCTTTAATTCAACATGGGTTTCTTTTTGGCAGGCTTTGGTGCAGATGTTTCAAAGGGGCCGTTCCCTTCGGGACACGAAGACGGACATGGCGGTGACAGCGACCACATCCGTGACGGCAGAGGTTGCGACCGCAGACGCGGGTGCGACCAGATTTGAGGAGCTCAAGGTGGGCAGATTTTGAGCTTTTTCCATGTATATATATACATATGTACCTATACCGGCTTAACTGTAGTTATAAATGTTGTGATTATATAATGTTGTTCTGTTTTGAAAAGGTGGTAGGGGGTAGTAAGCTTGGTCAACGTAGGCTGCTGACATGAAGCTACATTCAAGGAAGCAGAAAAACCTTTCGCATGATTGAAAAGGGTTCTCAAATTCAGAGTGAAATCAAGATATATACAAAAAACATGTATTGGGCTTGCTGCCAAGCTCTTTTGTTCGAGTTTGGGGAACGCACACATTGCTCGAGGTGGACCCTGAGTTGGGTGCTGGATTGGATCTGGCTGCTGATCCATACGGCTATCTCGTAGAGGGCGTAGACGAAAAGCCAGGGCAAAGGTTGAAAGCTTACTGCTGAACAGAAGGTCTTGTTTTTGACATCAATACAACAACCAACATTCTATAACTAAACTGACTTCATACAAAAATGAGACTAAGGCTCAACGCAGGTGAGGTGATCCTGGAGATTGATGGAGTCCAGCTGGGCTCTC